ACTGCCCGTGCAGCCTCCATGGCCTTCCTTATCAACATACCACTCAAAGACAGCTACAGGGCAGCCACCTGGTCCTCAGACCGTACCTTCGCTTGCCATTATGCCACAACTGGCTGCCCCGATTCAGCACTGGTGACGGCAGTGCTATCTACAGCCTCTAAGCGGTAAGTGGTTCCGATTCCCATCATCTTTTCGGATACTGCTTGTCAATCACCTGATCTGGAGCACCCATGGGGACATCACCCAAAGAAGAAAAAGGGAATTACTCACCTTATGCAGTAACGACTGTTCTTTGAGGTGTCCCCCCCTGTGGGTGCTCCACAACCCTCCCTTTCTCCCCTCTACTCGGAGTCACAAAATACTCCAGTGGAGAAGAGGAACTGAATGGGGGCAGGTGGGGGAGGGGAAGCCGGCAAACTGCACGCACGAGGTGCCAAGCAGAGCACAGCGCAAGGCTTGCAGGCACTGCTAGAAAAAGCTCCGTTCCAAGGCTTTGGGACGTTTCTACACCTGATGTGGAGCACCCACAGGGACACGCACCTCGAAGAACAGTTACTGCATGAGGTAACTCACTTTTTTTTTAACCAGTTTACAACTTTTATTGAATTCCTCCTAGATAACAAGAGAGAGCAATTTAAATCAAACATCAGTGAGAGGGGGCTCTAATCTCATGGACAGCCCTATAGGCTGCATTAGATTCGGCTGATACAGCAGCTAGACTAATTGTGTCTGCAGTAGCGATGAGGTGGGCATCATGACTGCAGCTCTCTAGGTTCCTCAGAAAGGTGCAGTCCACAGCAGAAGACCTGCCCTTTGAGGGCGCCAAGCTCTTTGAGAACTCCACTGATGCCTCGCTTCATACCTTGAAGGACTGATGAGCCATGCTCAAGGTGCTTGGCATCCATGTACTTGTCATAAAAAGAAAGTGGGGAAGGTCCTGTACACAAAGATACAGTCTTTTAACCAACAGCATAGGCAATATGACAATAAGCGCTGGCCATGCCAGAATAGGAGTAGACAAACATCCAACTAGACATCAATCCCACAACCATCCAGTTCACATCAGGCCTTTTGAAGTGTTGGTCAAGAGTCTGACATCCCCAGTTTCTCCATGGCACTAGTCCATCTCATCCACAACATTTGGCAACACCACCACCAAGTGGGTGTTGGAAATTATCCAAAGGGGTGACTGTATCCCATTTTCACTTACCCCTCCCTTCTACCTCCCCCGCCTGTTCCTCTTCAGGGACTCCCCTCACGAAGATGTGCTCCTACACGAAGTGGACTATTTCCTTCAATTGGGTGCCATAAAACACATACCCTGACAGCACAGGGCAAGGGATTCTACCCTCATTATTTTCTCACGGCCAAAAAGATAGGTGGTTGGAGACGTATTCTGGATCTCTACAAGCTCAATCAGTTCATTTGAATCCAGCATTTCAAAATGGTAACCATAATTCCTGTTTTGGAGAAGGGAGCCTGGCTGACTACTCTAGACCTCTATACACCTAGTGCACTGGCACTTCCTACAATTCGTCATCTGAAACCTCCGCTTCCAATACAGAGTGCTGCCATTTGGACTCTCAGTGGCCCCATGGGTCCTTTCCAAGACCCTGGCAGTAGTGGCAGCACACCTGCGAAAAATGGGAAATACCTTAGATATCCACAGGGCAATTGCATTTTACTTACAACACACAAAACCCTTCTGCGGATCTCCAAGACTCTTCATTTCAACCACAGAGAGATCTCAGGGTTTACCTATTTCAAAACAGAGACTATCCAGATGGGTCTCGTGCTTTATGCCAGATGTCTGCATACTATTCCAATGAGAGCCCCCAGTGGCTATTCAGGCTCATTCCACAAGAGCAATGGCAGCAACCACCATCTTCCTCCAGGGTGTATCAACTGAAGAAATTTGCAGCATTGCCACCTGGGCTTTGGCATAGCAACCACTATGTCATCCAGACCTATTCTGCTTCTGATACTCAATTTGGCTGAACAGTATTCTCCGTTACCAGTTCAGGTCTCTTGAAGCTCCCACCACCAAGCCCGACTACTGCTTCATAATCACCTAAAGTGGAGCACCCACAGGGACACTTCGTGAACAAGAAGGGAAGGTTATTCACCAGTAACGGGAGTTCTTTGAGGTAGTTGCCCCATGGGGTGTTCCATCACCCTTCTTCCTCTCTGCTTTGGAATCTCTCATATCTGTGGCAGAGAAGGAATTGAAGGGATGGTTGGCTGTGCATGCAGAGTAGCCGTTTCAAAAGTCACGCACCGGTGGCATGACTCTAAATCTCCGATTAGAAGCACAGCGGCACTCAGACATCTAAGGTGGAGCACCCACAGGGACAGCCATCTTGAAGAACTCTAGTTACTGCATCAGATGAGTAACTTTCCCATCCTGGGTCCAAGCCCCTCCTGCTCTGAACAAAAGGTTGGGATTAGATTCCTGGAGCTCTAGCAGCTATATGGTGAGTGACTGTTCCTGGTGCCTTACCCATGCATCGAACACCCTGTTATGCCTGGCTCTGGGCATTTTGCTTAGGGATGTCAACATAGAGACGACTACATGATTAATCAACAAACCTGGGTTTATTGGTTAATCCTGTCAACTACACGCATTATTCCCCCCTTGCTGCCTCTGTATTAGTGGATCTGCCTGGATACACCTGCCCACCCCCATCCCCATGCTGCTGTCTCTGATAGAGAGGCAGCAATGCAAAGAGTGGAGGGGGCGGGGGGGAGCCAATATGCTTGGGGATCTGGCTTTTAAGCTGGCTCTCCACATGTGCCAGCTCCGCAGGACCCACCTGCCCCCCCCCTTGCTGCTTCCTACAGAAGCAGTGGGGGAAAGGGAACTAGCAGGAGCCAGTGCTGGGTGGGAGTCCGCTTAAAAGTTGGCTCCCCCCAGCACTGGCTCCATGGAGCCACCTGCTCCCCCCTCCATCCCTCCACTGCTGCCTTTTTCAGAGGCAGTAGTATGGGGGTAGGGGAGGGAAAGCTGCTGACCCTGTTGGTGGGCATCTGAGGTCCTTGCAAACAGAGGCTGCTCTGGCATCCAATGGAGCAGCCTCTGTCCGCGGTGAGCATGGGCCTGCTGCAGACAGAGGCTGGCTCACCGCCGCAGA